ATTACGTCAATTATTGACGAAGCAGAACCAGGCGTTTCGCACCTTTGAAGCTGCGCAAACGATTTGGCTATATCGCTATTTGTCAGGAATAATAAGACCTTTATCTCTGCCAGAAGCCTTGGGACGGAATTCCTCTGCCCAAGCCTCCCCCAGTTCCGAAGGCGAAAAAACGCAGTCGGTCTGAGGAAGAGTCCCCCAAAGACCAGCCCACGAAGTCTGTGAAGCTAGCAACTGTGGAGAAGAAGCTTAGCTTTAGTGCTGTAGCTGGCTCCGCGCGTATAGGAATTCGAATCCTATGAGTGTGGAGCAGATGCGGCTGGTCCACCGGGCACTAACGCAGGCCATCACTAAGACGGCCTATGGGGCGCAACCGGGAATGGGTTCAAAATTTTCGGGTTTCACCCACAAGCCAGGTTGGATTCTGGTAACGTGTCTGAATAAGGCAAACCAGGACTTGATTGTGGGTGAAATCGGAAAACAGAAGCCCTGGCCGGAGGCAGAGCTCTCGGTAATACCCGAGGGCGAACTGCCTAAGCCTCAGCTGGGCATTTCCTTCTTGCCCCTCAGCGAGGCCGACTCTCCAGAGGAGGCGGCTGTGCTGTTGAGGGCACAAAATGGAGGGCTCCATACTGAGCTCTGGAGAATCCTCCACCGTAGGGACAAGGAGAATGTGTTCTTAGTAACCTTTTCTCTGGACGACCCATCGGCAGAGGCTCTTCGGAAGGCAGACGGCAGAGTCGTCCTTGGCTTTAAGATGATAACTTTTAAAGTCAGGGGAGGCTCTGACGCGGCAATGGAGCCCGAACCGCCCCAAACCCAATCCCCCTAGCCCTCCACCTCTCGGAGTGAGGCTGGAACGCCACTGGTGAGAGTGACAAAGACCCAAGGCACAGATTTCGCCTCGGTCCGACGGCCTCCGCTGGTGTCGTCCTGGCCTGAGGGTAGGGGAGGTGGGAGCGGTTTGACGAAAGGTAAGGCGGGGGTCAAGTACGCAGGTAAAGGATGTCCTCGTCCTCAACAGGCGGAAAAGCCTAAACTTAGGTTATACACCAACCTTTGTAACGCGTGCTAGGCAAGAAGTGTTAGACTTAACTTTTGCTACCAATAACATATCCAGGCGGATAAATGACTGGCATGTTAGTAGCGAAAACTCGATGTCTGATCACAAGCACATTAAGTTTGTGATTGGAGCATCACCAGCCTACGAAACCGTTACTTTTAGGGATTCAAAAATGACCTCCTGGGATATCTACAGAGATAGCCTAGGAGGAATTTGGAAACGTTTCCTAAAAGCATCAAAACAATTGATGGTCTGAAGTCAGCGACGGAGACAGTACGTGAAGCCTTCGAGGACAGTTGTCCCGTCAAAACCACGACCTCAACGGGAAAAGTTCCTTGGTGGGATACTAAGCTAAAAGAACTTAGGGAAAAGACCAGGAAACTATTTTATAGGGCTAAGAAAACCTAAGAGTGGGATATTTATAGGGCAGCCCTAACTGAATATAATAAAGAAATTAGGAAAGCCAAGAAAGCATCGTGAAGGAAGCTATGCGAGGAAGTTGAGTCTTTGCCTCGCAGTGCAAGACCACACAAAATGCTATCGAAAGCTAAACCTAATCAGATCGGGCTTCTTCTTTAAGAAGAGCAAGAGAAGAGCTAGATGGTAACTTCACTAATAGTGAAATAGAAACATTGGAGTTACTAGCGTCAACCCATTTCCAAGGGTCACACAAGACTTCAGCCCTGAATTCTTTCAGAGCCCTACGAAGGCTTTGTAATGAGGACTGTAGGGCTGCAAAGATAATAAGGCCAAACCTGGTGCAGTGGGCTGTTGACTCCTTTGAACCATTTAAATCAAGCGAGGAGGATGGAATAATTCCCATCCAACTATAGAGGGGTATCGACATCCTTTTCCTTATCTGGTGAAAATCTTCAGAGCAAGTTTTGCATGGTGATATATTCCAGAACGATGGACAATTGTCAAGGTTCTACTTATATCTAAAGCTTGGAGAAAGGACTACGCTTTACCAAAGTCCTATAATAAGACCTATAAGCCTATCTTCCTTTCACCTTAAGACATTGGAAAAGGTTATAGATAGATATATAAGGGATGTAGCTCTATCTATGAGACCCATACATTATAACCAGCATGCTTACCGCAGAGGCAAATCTACGGAAACAGCCCTGATCAGTGTCATTGACAGGGTCGAAAAAGCACTGGAGGATAAAGAAATAGCTCTTTGTGCCTTTCTAGATATTGAGGGCGCCTTCGACAGTAGTTCCACATCACTGCTGATTGGGGGCCTGATATCTAAAAATGTTGACCCCACAACCATCAGATGGGTGAAGTGGATGCTCTTAAACAGATAGGCAAAAATAGCGCTGTTTCAAACTTCTGCCCACAAGCTCCAACAAGCTGTTTTGTCACTCCTTCTTTGGACACTTGCGGTTGACCAACTATTGTACAAAATGGCAGTCCTACGCATTGTCACACTGGGTTATGCTGATGACCTTGTGATCATTGCGAGGGGCTTTTGCCAAAGTACTTTATCGTCAATAATACAAAGAGCCCTAAACACCATAAATCACTGGTGTAGGGATAACAGTTTATCAGTTAATGCTGATAAAACTGTTATAATACCCTTTAGATTTATTTTAATGCCTTAGGATGAAGTAAAAATAAATTGCGCATTCTGGGAAGAGCCCTAACTGGACACTGTTGTCTTAAAAAGCACATGTCCATCTTGGGACTAAGCAACTCAATGATGTGTCAATTCTGTTCCATAACGGAAGAAAGAAACGCCTATACACATCCTAACTGATTGCGGACCCTTAATGCGCAAAGTAACACTCGTCTGGGAAACTATCTACTCCGCCCAGAAGAAGTGAAATTGCTCACGGCTAAGCAACTCTTTCTATTCATTGAAGACATAGGGCTTAGCCGTGAACTATAGCCATAGCAGCGATCACAATAGATCTTCTAGGTCGCAATGATACTGGTCTCTTTCCCTAGACCTGCATAACTGCTAGCATATAATAAATAAAGACCTTTATGGCATATCCCTCGTCATTTTTTACGTCACCGACTCAAAGTCCCCCCCCCCCCCCAGCCAAAAATGAAATCCCCAAAAGGGGGACACACCAAAAAATGTGCGTTGCAGCTTTAGTCGGACATATAAAACTGACTGGCACCGCCTCCTTATATACACGTCTAACAAGCTTTTTCTTGGAAAAATCAATGTTCAACGGTGGACTTGAAGTGGCTTTTGATTGATATGGTCTTGTAAAAAGTGTAATAGTTTTCCAGCACTTCTGCCATAATGACATATCGTTGGCAAATCAAATGTTTGTATTTGCAATTGATTTCTATATTTTCAGCAGTCCAGTTACTAGAAAACGCTTTTTCAATGCAGCGGTGAAGTTTCTGAAATATAATATTACTTTATTGCAGTTTAATAATCGATATCCCGACATTTGATCTGATACCACTGAATATGTAGTACTGGTTATGTAGTACTGCCCAAATTTCGACTTAATGTGAGGCTTTTATAGATTACAGAGACAAAGAATAATAGCAATCACCTCCTTAGTCTTCTGTATTATACGTTGAACCGTTCCATGGAAGGATAGAGAGTAGGGGTAGATAATGTTTTAGTAAAAAACTTTTCAGAGACTGAAGTAATCGAGTCTGTAAGTGAGAAAATCTTAAGACCTCAAGACGTCTTACGTTACCACTGTTTTCGAAGAGCAAAAGCATCACATTTCCGCTCCGTACGTCCAGTGTAGTGCCAGCATGAGGATCGAATAAACAGAAGAACACAAGAATAATCAAATAAATAAATAAAAACAAAATAATTAATAGCGTTTATTAATCTGCACGGATCACAAATGTAATACAAAAATATACGAATAAAATTATCCATCGCAGTTATACCAAATTCATCTAAACAAAGTTGTTGTGTTTGAGACAAGTCGAAATGGCCGAATATAGATAGTAAAATACAACTAAATTAGATCGTTGATGTAGAAAGAGAGAGTATCAATTTTAAATATTAAATCCTATATTTACAGTAAAATATAAAAGTACGTATAACTATCATATAAAGATCTCATTTTAAATAGATTCATAGCAAGCGCTTTCTACCACTTTAGTAGCGACAGCATACCAAAGTAATTAAAACTAAATTAGGAATTTATGTTTGATTTTTTTAAATGACAGATTAATTAGTTTTGGACCGATAATTTCATGTCGTTTTGTTCTTAGCCGTCGCATAGACATGTGCTACATCAGTAACGCGATGAGGACAGACATCTATGCAATGCTAAATTTTTGTTAAAAGTAATGTAAAAACTGCATTTTTGTCTTGATCGAAAACTTATTCTATACCTAAATATATTCTAATACTATATTTACACTTTATTTTAAAAAGGCAGTGTCAAGCACAAAGCTGGCAAGATTAGAAAAAAAATTTCTAAATTTTAATATGGCTTTTGTATGAAAAGTCAGATACCGTCTCTACACTATAGAGTGTAAATTGTTTCGTCTACATTTTTTATGTATTGCAATTTTTATGTACATGGCCTTCTCCCAATATTTTATATACCTTCAAATACAGAATAAAATTAATACAAAGTAGGGAATAATGCAATAAATTATTGCATCCACTAATTTTAATAGACATGCTAAGTATTATTTATTACTCATTGATATTTGTTACACATTGGGATTGAAAACAATAAATATCACAGTTTCCAATACATAATACAACGAGTAGCTTAAAAGCAAATTTTACTACACTACTATAAATTCGAAATCACATCTCTCAACTACGAATAAATTGTTTAATATAACAGATTTTGTGACCACCGTCTATTAAATGGCACTCTATAGTTGGTAATAAACAATTTCTACTCTCAAATAATCATAAACAGCATGGTCGTTGCCTCGTTGGCTTATAATTATTACACGGAAATACAATATTATATATTATGAGATGCGATTATTCTTCGATTTCATTATCGATACGTGATGATTTAATTCCAGTTTTCCCAGTCCAGGGATATATTTCGGGGCAGGGCTGACATGTTCTCATATATCTTACGCCAGATTTGTGCCAAAGATTGCAGACCTTTGGGTTGTTACATTTCTTGGGACGATCCTGTGAAACGGAACACATATTATAACAATTAATATTCTTATAACTATGTCGGAAACCGTTAAGTTCCTTTAAAAGGATTGACTATTGCTCCAATATTATAATATTAATTCGATAATGCTTTTCCATCCAATATCCACGTGTATACTAAATTTAAAGACGATATCAATAATTGTTAAAAAGAAAACGATCCTAAAGTGGTCGTTATGATTACGCTATAGTATTCGAATTCGATTTTGATATCGTTATCCATCAAAGAGATTTCTCATATCTTAAATATTAATTCATTAAAAATATATAAAAAAAATCAATAAAAATATATAAAAAGTCCACAGCTGAATATAGGACTTCCTATAGATTGCCTCAAAAGACTCCTATAATTTATGTTATCCCTATATAATATATCTATTTATTTTTCCAGTTGTTTTAATTAATAAGATGATGTTCATCTACTGGTTTGTCCCCTCTGTCACTTCTTACGACAACAACGATACGATATGGAGTAGTGGATATTCATACACCGCAATTACAATGTTGAGTAAGAGAATGAGATGTAAAATATAATTCTTTTATTTAAATCATTGACTCTGATTTAAGTAAAAGAATTATATGAAATCTTTTTCAACATCAGTTCGCAAAAGTCAACTACTGGATATTAGGCCTTCCCATTTTATTAAAGATTAACCTGAAATGTCACACTTTGAAGGCGTTATATTGTTATCTTCCATTATTTAATTCCTGATAGACAGATAAAATAATTACCTGATAATTGCATTGGAAAGGCTGGAAGTTATTGAGCCTTGATATAGGAGTCGGATCCCGAACCCACTGCAAAGCTTGCCAATTGGTAACGATCCATACGTCCTTCATTTTATTTATGTAATCCAAAAACATAATGAAACCTTCTTTATGATGTGGCTGAGTGAACCACGCTGCGTGATAAAATAGCCCAAATGGAGCTCTAAAAATTCAAGAATTGTTATTACACATTGTACAACTGTAAACTTATGACGAAACTTTATGATTTTTTAAAATTTTATATAACAATTTACCTGTTAGTTGTGTAATGTCTGTCAAAATTCTTTAAAAGCATTTTGTATACACCTTCAGCTTCAGGAGGATTGGCACATGCGTCTCCCATAGAACATCTACCACCGTTTAAATCTTGCCACATAACCATAGGTACCTCCCAGACACCTGCAATGAAAAAAGCTCTTAATGTAACTGTCAAAATATTTTCTTAAAAATTGTAGTTGTGACCTAATTTTTGTTGTGCAACAAGCATTTCACGCGCAGCGCGGTGTCGAATATTTTCCCGCTCGCACACTACTATCTCTTTCACTCGGAGCGTTCCCACTACGTGCCACAAAGAGCAACAAAGCTTTTATCTTTGCACTACTCTAAGGTAGACTGGTAGATAATGCCTCAGGCATTAAGTCCGCCTATATACATCTGTGTATATGAAGTTAAATAAAAAAAATTAAAATAAAAAGAGCAACAAAGCGGCGGAGCTATATAAGCCACACCGCGAAATTGTTGCACTCGAAGCAACCAAAAGGCTAACAGCATTAATGTCATAAAAACCCAGTCATTGCAATTGATTGCTCGTAGGTTCATGCCTACGAGTCTATTTCAATGAAGCTGTAAAGGGCGCAGGGCCAACAGCATATTTCAGGAAAAAAAGATAGTCATCACTACTTAGCTAGGGACCGTATTGGCCAGATATCCGCTGCAGTAACCAGTACGGACGAGTATTAGGCAACAGAGTACTATAGCCGCTGCAGTCTACTCTCGTGTCTAAAGCTTTTAAGCTAGATTGCGTCACATAAAGCTAGGAGATAGATAGCCGCTGCAGTCGTCTACGATGCTTCAAAAGGGACTTAGGCTAATAACAATACCATAAGTAATTTTTTTTTATATAATAGGCTGACAAACGAGAACACAGTCCACCTGATGGTAAGTGGTTGCTGCGGCCCATAGACATCTACATCTATCTTCCATTACAAATCAAAATGCAGATGCGTTGTCACCCGTGAGGACTGAGATGGAATGCCTCATTTTCAGTAAAAGGGGTCTCCGGTTCTCTACACTCACCATACGAAATACAGCAGCATTAAGCTACTATTTCACGCTGGTATTCTGTGAGAGCGTGGTCCTTCCCCGGTCGAGCCGACCCATTCGTGCTACAACTATACTACTAATATAACTGCAGCATGGCTCTACCACGTAGAGAACTACTCTGTTACACTACTTCAAAATGTTGTAATATATGTATAATACACGGCGATTGGCGCTTAATTTTCACCACCTACCCTACAGATGTTATTTTATCGCTATCACTACAGCCCATCACAAGCACGGTCCTGAGCCACCTGCATCCTTTGACTACCTACGTGTTTAATAGGTTTGTTATTTCATCATCATTCATTAATTCATCATCATTTGGTTGTCACTCGAGAACTTTTTTTTCATCGTTTGTTGGTTCTTCAAGCTATATGGATAGGACCATCAGGTAGTCTTGTTTTTCTGTGAATGTTCTCGTAATGGGATTTATCCTACAGAACATTTCCGAGCATATACCTTTCTATACCACGCTGAGTAAATGTGAGTTTCCTCATACGGTCTGAAGTTTTTTTATCATTATACTTTAAATGAGAAAAAATATTTACCTGGATAAGATTTTGTTGGACAAGGCGGAATCATGCAATCATGGAATAATTTGTAGTCCAGAGTGTATGGCCAACTTGGTGGCCTATTTTCATAAACAGGCAGTGAAGAATCATAAGTAAAGTTAGAATCGTACAACATTTTGAACATTTTGTTTCCACCAACAGAAAGGAAAGGAGCTCGCATGCCTCGAACATCTTCCAATTTTACACCACCATAAGCTGCCAATATTTCTCTTTGACCGCCTACTTCTCTATTCCATTTCTTTTGGGAAAATTGCTCTCCAAAACTGTGGCTAAAAGTGTAAATATAAGTATTTTAATGTGAATCTTCAAAATAAATTGTATCTAAAACCGTTAACATTTAGTTCGGTTAGAATTAAAATATACTTGAAAATTAATAAATTAAGTTTATAAAAAATAGAATAGACAAGAAATTGCGTAAAAGAAAATTATATCTAAAAGAAAATGAAAAAGGCGTGTTGGGGGAAATGTAATATGGTGATTTATATTTTTCTATTTTTTATTTTATTTGTGCTGGTACAATAAATATTTAACTTACGAAATCGTATGCGAAGCCATCTCATGTCCCGCAGCGTATAGGTTCTGTACTTGACTATAGTCAGTCCATTCGTGTGACACATAAAATGTAGCACTAATTGGACAACCATTTGGATTCACACGGCCTTTTTCAAATAGATCAGTATACAGAACTTTGTTTAGATCGTTAACAGAATCATCAAACGTCAGGAGAACAATTTGTGGCACACTCTCCACCGGTAAGTCACCTGTTTCCGCGGGTTATGGGTAGTGATTGTGCATGTGGTTATTGATACCGATAGTGCCAGGAAGAGGAAGAAGAGACAGGTTTAGAGGAAGGAAAAGAAAAACAAAATATATTAATAAAAGTATAAAGACAAGATATTGCTTCTATGTATTTTTACATAAAGATGGCCAAGAGTAAATGGTTAGTTTCAATCCAAAAATCGAACATATTGAGCAAATTCTGTTTTAGTGTGAAGTACCTGGGCTACCGAGCTTTGCACGACTTTAGAAAAAGAATTATTATCTCAGGTATGAAACCTATCTCGACAAACTAGAAAAATAAAACATTATCGAAGTAGTTTTGTACTTAGATAACGTTTTATTTTTCTACGTCGGTGCTGTTTCCGCGATACCAATAAATATATATACATATATACAAGAACTGTTCACATAAATTATAGGATATTTTAAATATCATATAGAAATGTTCGAGTCTTGGCTAATTTATATTTTATATACTTATAACCAGACTATGCAGAAGAGATCCAATAGGTCCAAGCTGATCCCGTAGACTTACGATATTGTGTGTGAAGCAAATTCGTGGCCATCTGCATATAGATTTTGTACTTGACTATAATCTGTCCATTCATGAGATACATAGAAAGTGGATGATATTGGGCAGCCATTTGGATTAACCCGTCCACTTTCAAATAATTCTTCATAATACATTTTATTTAAATCGTTCACAGCGTCGTCGAAAGTGATTAGTACCATTTGAGGTACTTCGCTGACAGGCAAATTTCCTAAGACGGCAGATTCATTTAAGTCATGGACAAAATGGATATAATATTTAAATATTGACAAAACATTAAAGATATTTTTGTTTTAATATTAAATAGTAAGCGTACCGGGAATATCCTTGCCACCACAATAGCAATCAGGTAACAAGCAGACATCTTTCCTGCATTTGGCCGCAGTTTTGTCCGGAGTGGGTTGTGGATAAACTGGGTCTGGTCGTCTTGGTGGATTAGCGTATATATCCACAAACTTGGTATTTTCGGAAACAATAGCTGTCGATGGTTTGAGGGTCGGACGACTGCGACTGCTTGGAAATCAAATCAATATTATTTATTATTAATAGAGGAAAATATAAATAAAAATTAAAAATTTCTGACTATCATATATAGGAACTAATATTTCGTCTTTATCATCAGCCCGTAAAAATGACTAATGAATGTGATCATGTCTTTACCTTAAACGCTACGCGTGGTAGACAGATTAACGATATCATTCATTACTTATCGTCTCCCAACTTTGATGCTGTATCCTGTCCCTGGTTTGGGTGTTTTATACCTAGCGAAAACGGGAAGCTTATTTATACTACAATCCGTCGACAGAAATGAGATCTTTCTGGAATATCCTATAGTCACGTCTTACGACACCAACGGGACAACATGGGGTGATGGAGTCTCTACAATACCAACATAATAATTATATTTCTACTACTCCTAGTTGATCTGCCCATGGCTGACTAGCCTTTCTCCTAGTCAGCCCATGTACCATCAGTTTATCTAAGCTAGGAGGTAGTACTGCAAAAAAAAGGCTATACAAATAAAACAACATTAATTCATTCCTATCAGCACATCACAAGTTTACTGAGTGCTTAATATAGGCCATTATTCATAGATTACCTCATATGCAAAAACAACAACTATAACAAATATACCTCATATCGGTATATTTGCAATAGTTGCCATGTTTGTTGTACAAACTGTTGTGCCAACCACGGAACATTAAAAACAATAGCAAACCCTAATAAGCAATAGTATGCGAGGCACGCATGCCATAAATTGGCGCGGTATCGCCTAATTGACTGTGAGTTGCAGGCATATTGTCAGAAATTAACGTGTCACTACTTAATAGATTTTGTGCATAAATATTCGTGCCTATTATGCATTACTGAAATCCAAAAATAAATATTTAAAAAAATTTATAGTATATTAAAGTAATTTACAATAAATTTTGTTACTTTACTATTTTTTATGGAAGAGGAGACAAACAAGCGTACGGTTCAGGATTAATGGTAAGTGAACACTGTCACCCATGAACAACTGTAATATCCGGGAATTACAGGTGCGTAGTCTGCCTTTCAGAAAGGAGTAGTCTGTTTTCTTGAAGATCCCTCAATCATATCAGTATTTTGTTTCCATATACTTCAAAAACAAATAAACGTCTATGGTTTGTTGTTATATTATTACGTCATATAGTTGTTGAATTAGCAGTTAATGTACAGCAAAGTCAACTTAAAGCCGTTCAAAATTGTGCCTACCTAATAGCGTAAAATTAATATGACAATATATAACGTCGAGTGATAGAATCGAATACTTTTGAATAAAAGACATAATGCTCTCATTTTTCTACCAACTTATGGTACTCATCTGACTATAAGTAGTTGAATTTGCTTGCCGATCTTGGAAGTTTTCTAGATTAAAAGAATCATGGTTTCTAGTTATACCTTAATATGGTTCGTAATCAGTACAATGACGAGTACCATAAAACATTTCTCCATTATTTCTAAACACCTAGCCAATTGCTCGAAAATTATTGAAATGTTGCACAACTGTCGATACACATTTCTTTTCTTGCTAATGTTCAGCACTCGTTCTAGTACAAATTATGCGCTTTGCCACTTTCTCTAGTTTTTAATATGGCGTGTTACCAACCAACCCGGGGTTGGTTATCGCCAACCTAACTGGGATTGGCAACTGGCTAACTTAACGTTATTCAAATGTGTACGATGTCTATTAGTACTAATATTTAATAAATTTATTCTAACGTTGGTGGTGTTCCTCTATTAGATTGCTGTTGCTGTTGAGGCGCCTCCGAACCGCCTGATGTGGAATAATGCGCTGAGCCCCTACCACGTGTGCTACTTGGCCTGTGAAAAATAAAATACTCCAATAAATTGTTCGTTTAATGTTTTTATAATTAGTACGCGTGATTTTAAAGGAAAGCGGTACATTCTTCGTTGCATACTTTATCTTTTCATAATTCAAAAAATATTTGTATTTAATGTTAATCCAAAGCTTATTATTATTATTATTATTGTCAAAACTACTACTGAATAATCTCATTTATAGAAAAAAAACTTACCCGGTAGTCATTCTGTGCACTAAAATAATTAACTAATGGATGGAATGTTATGAGGTGCAAATGCAGGCATTGAGGAACTTTACATTATTACAATTACTAATTAAATACTATTTTACACTAAATAAAAAGTCACCGAAGTGCTTAAATAGGAAATGGTCACGTCAGGAGTTAACAACTCAAATTTTAAATTGAACCAATTTTCAAGTCCCCCAATGAAAATAGTATAAGCGACAGATTTTAGCAGTAGGTGCTATTAAACTGTTTTAGAGGAATATTTAATATCATGCTAGTTACTTTGCGAGGCAGAAAATGAAGACTTTTTAAATAGACGAAGCCCCCACCCTCTATTACTTGTGTAAAGTTGAAATAACATCAGGCTGCACTGAATATTGGGCGCGAGCTATGTACCTCTGATATTTGATTTCGTTGCATTTTGGATTCGCTTGCAGACTGTTGTCTGATGAGCAATTGGTCGACGATTGGTAACTCCTGCGCCCACCTCCAAGGTTTGCCGCAGCTAATTTTATAGCAGGATTTACACGTGAGGCTCTTGTCGGAAAGGATAAACTTTTAGTCGTTGTTTTCAGTTCAAGCTTTACGGTCGTAGTCGATTTTGTGGTACTAGTTGTTGAAGCAACATCAGCTATAGCAAGTATAGGTTGATGTTGGTCCATCTCGGTCGTTGTTACAATTTCATCTTCGTACGCTGTCGTTGGTTTTATAAACTCATGCATGACGTCGATGTTGGAAATATTTAGGTTATCACTATTTTTGGTTAACAGTGCGTTATTTTGATATTTGTGTGATTTTTCAACTGGCACTGATACGGAACTATTATTTATATCGTTGCCTTCAGAGCTTTTTGTTACTTTGACTGATGTTTCCGAGTCGATTTGTATAGGAATAGGCGTAGTAGTTATAAAAGATGGAGTAGAAAAAGCATCTAAAGGCAAACCTTTTTGAACGCTGTCAAAAGATTCTGTGAAACTGAATGAATCAATACTTGGAGGTATAAATCTACTTACACTTGGTTTTGTTATAATTTCTAAATACTTGACGTTACCTCTAATGGACTTGTCATCAACATAATTAAATTTTTTTTTCTGATATCCTATATTAACAATAGTTTCGGATGTAGTGGAAGTAATTTTAGGAGTAGAAACATAAATATCTTCCGTGTCTTTTGAATGTAATACTAAGTTATTAAAGAAGGTTTTTATTACATTTTTAACTTTACCTCTAAGTACTTTAGTAGTACTATCAGATGGGATTTCATCGTCTACGCTATAACTATAATAAGATGGCTTACGTGAAGCATATTTTTCTTCATGAGTTGTTTGGGTAGTAGTGTGCAAAGTGGTTGAACCCGTGGAGTAATCTCGTATGGATTCATCTATATGTAATTTTTTTTTGTAAGGCATTGTTTGGAGATATCAATGGGTCATTAGTAATTTCTTGCATAATGTCAGTTGCTTCTTTCAAATTTGGGTCATAAACTTTCTCATCGTTTAATAAAGCAATCTCGCCAGATACATTTGCTAAAAAGTGGTTAGTTATTACTACATTTTCAGTAATATCATCGATTTCTTCAGTAGAAGATAATGGCAGTGGACGCTTTATAATATTTTTTAAGTAGTATTTTGTACTTGCACTAGTTGCCGGTGTTGTATTTATTCTTAGACCAAGTCTTTCATTTTTATATTTTGTTATTGAATGACTATCTTCGGTTTTATTTTTTCCTATAGAGGGTTTTTCCCCTCTACTATTTGTTAATGGACTTTCATTATTGTAGTCATCTACAACCACTTTTGTCTTACTCAATTTCATAGCATTGTCATTGTTAGTGTTGTAGTAAAATCTTTGTGTTTTTTCTTCATTAATATTGTTATTTTCAAAGCTAATTACTTTAGTCGAAGAATTATATCCATCATAAGGTCGAGTGATAACTGTTAAAGTATATGGGTTTTTAGTATTATTTGCGTTTCTTCTTATTGAAAAACCCGTTGTTACCGATAATTTATTTTTAACTGCATTCGAACTTAGGACATTCATATCGGTATTTTTATTTGCATTAGTCACAAAAGTAGGAAGTCGACGTGTCGATAGTGTTTCAGTCGAATCTAAAAAGTCTACCAACCGGTGGGAGTTATCAGTCATTCCAAAGGGTTTTGCTCGGGATGAAATATTTATGACTGGTGGAAGGGTGGGAGGAACTGAAGTGGATTCAGTAAAAGAATGTTGGGTTGAGGAACCAGTATTTTCATCTGCAGAGAATCTGTTGAATATAAAGCAAAAGAAAACTATCTAATTTAAGCTCTAATAATTTCAAAGTTCTAATAGAAAAATCTATTGTTAATCACAAAACTATGTGAGTGCAACGTTAAAGTTGGCAAAAAGATCACTAAATAAACATTATACAACAACTTGACCCTTTATAAATGTCTTTATAGGTATTATATATTTTGTGTTTTTTAAATGGTTAATTGACAAAAGATACCACAAAAGCTTGCTTATTTTATGTGACTCGTTTAACTTTACAGTAATATTGAGCGATTAAGTGAAGAATAAACACAACCTTAACATATTTAATACAACCTTCAAACAGATAAGAAAACCAATGAAAGAGAGTTTAGTAGATAATGGAAAGTTATTGTTTGAGTTAGTAATATATTTAAAGGTTGCATTGAAATTTAATTTAAAAAGTGCTTAAATATATAACGAATAAATGAATAATATGTGTAAAATGATTGTTATATTAATTTAACCATAATGATAAGCATGAATGATACTAGAACTATCTAGAATAGATATCTTTTGTAGTACCTTGAAGTAAATCGTGATGGGGTCATAGCTTCAGTGAAGAGTGCAGTAGTAGAGCGTTGTGTGGTGGTAGTTGTGGTTGTGGTTGTGGAAGTTGTAGAAGGACTAGTTCTAAAAGAAGTAGCTTCATAAACAGTTGTCCGCACGTTGTTCGGGTTATGTTCATAGCCCAGTTCATTACCTTCGCCCCTGAATCGTTTTAATTAATAAGTAAGCATATTACGTTTGGATCATATGTAACTATAATTATGAAAATAAAGGTAACTTCTTTATAATAAGAGTAATATTAAAATTTTACCTTGGAGAATGACGAACAGGTGTTTGATACTGATTCGGGTTATTGATCTGAAAATAGTTTAATTGTTCGAATCCCTTATTAAATTTGAACAATTTGAAATTTAATAAAAGCATCATGACTAGAATTATACCTGTTCTTGAATTAGAACATCATCATAATCGTCTGAAACTACTGGTTTGGGTGTGTAACTCTCGACAGGCCTACGAGTAGGAGGCGGTGTCCCTCGGTACGTCTGTTGGATCACAGGTCGCAGTGAAGCTGTATTATATTGTTGGACGTAATCTGTAAAATAATTCAACCCATTACTGTGAAGCGCGCTATTCAAGATTAAGTAAAATTTGTAGTGAAAAATCACTCAATATATTAAGTTTTTGTTGTTTATGTGCGCGCTGGGTATAAGGCCTTTTCATATATTCATTTTTGGAGAAGGAAATATTCGCATCGCGCTTCACTAATTCGTGTTGGTTCCCAAGTGGACCCTACTTGGGAACTAATACGAATTAGGGAAGGCAATTCATGATGATTCGTGATTTTCATATTGCTTCGAAATATTTTTTTATTTACGTGGAATGCAGGTTTCCTTACGATATTTTGCTAAATCGCAGTGTACGTGATAAATCAGCACTTAAAATTGCGATCAATAATTTTATTTTTGGTGGTGGGAATCGAATTTAGTTTGCTCGCGTATAATGAAATTTACAACGACTGCTTAAACTCTAAGCCACCACTGCTCCCCTATGTCTGTAATAATAATAATTACTATTATTACAGTTATAGGAGATTAATTTGTGGTTTAACTTACCTGTATCTTTGTAAAGCTCCCCATCTTCATCGTAGACGGCATAAAAAGGATCAAATTGATCAGGACTGTAGTTCTGTGATCCATTGTAGAGCATTTTTGGTCGTGGACTTGGCGAAAAAGAGGATGGTGTCACCCTTTCAGTTGGTTCCAGGCTAAAAATTAAAAAAAAGTAGATACTTTGAGATTTATTAAACTGATTTTGATTCCGATAGATAGAATGTCAATTAAAAGTCATGTCCGTACTTTGTCAAAGTCTACAAGTCGGTATATTCATTACTAAACTGGTCAGTTTAATTACCAAATGTTTCCATGTTTTAAATATATATTAATCCAAAGCATTATTTGGTTGTTTAAAAATAAAAAGAATACTTATACCATATATCGTTACAGTTGATTTGGATCTTTTACCTGTTAGATTTACCATCATGTTTAGACTTTGTATATCTAGTTTCCTGATTGTAGTTATCACGAGGGGTGGTAAGCATCTCTGCTACAATATTTGGATGCCTAACCCTTCCCTTGGTTTGTTTGTTTTCCACAATTTCAAATCCTTCAGTGACGATTGGCTTAGCTAATCTGTGCCTTACAGTATATGGTCTTAGAGTAGTTTGATTTAAATATTTTGGAGGTCTGACTGTGTGTGGACCACTTTCACTGTGTATCGGTTTCCTTACATTTGTTGTTCTATTTTGAACCAAATTATGATTAACTTTATAGTTAGAAATCTCAGTGTGCTTCATAGTATTTAAATTTTGGGAGGATGATGGCAGAAGTGTAATTTTTCCCCCCAAATTTTTATTAGATTCTTTTAAAGGTATTTTCACCATAAAAGATGATATATCATTTTGATTTTGAGTCACTGGTTTGTTTGGCCTTTTTAGATTAGGACTAGTTTGCTTAAATTTTAATGATTGTTCGTCAATATTTGCATTATTATCCTCATATTCATGGTAGTTTTGCGCCATTGGGGGACGTTGAGGCCTAACTTCTGAACTAGGCATGTATTTTGGTTTTACTACGGGCTCATAATAATAGTTATCATCTTCGTCATCGTAATAGTAGTCATTCATTTCTGGCGAGGGTTTAGGAATAGGTTTTCGGTTTAGGGGTGCGTTAGTTGTTGTTAAACTTAAACCTTTTGGAGTATTACTATGTTCATTGTTAGTTTTGTACGGCATTTGTGTTGATGACTTAATAGCTTGTGTAAAAAAATTATCAAACTGAGGAGTATTCGATTCTGCACTTGGTCTAAAAGTAGATTGTGGGATTATCGGTTTTCCATTCGTAATATTCCTCCAATAGTTTTGTAAAGTTGAAAGCTGATCGTTAGCAACAGTCGTCAAAAACTTAGGTACAGACTGCTCAAAAGATATATTATATACCTCAGGTCTGGTAGGATCAGCAGCAGATATGGTGAAAGGTTTAATAGAAGAAACGAAATGTGTATTTTTTAAATGTTGATTCGGAGTGGAAATTACAAAAGGTGTTCCAGTACTAGTTACTAAAATATATGGCTTTTGAGTTACAGGAAAGTTACTTGGATATTTTGATACGTTAAGATTTGAAATTCTTGTAGTCTCAATAGGCCTGCTAAAACTATAAGTTATAGGCAATTGACGCTCATCCGTAAAGTTTGGTGGTTTCAGTTTAGGTAAAATATTGTTCAAAATTTCTTTATTCATTGGAGTATTTTTATTAAAGTGGTTTTCATTAAGATATGCTTTTTGATGGTATTCTGTAAATACCGGTTTTATTGCAAATGGTTGATATTTCTGTGTTTGCTTGTTTGTTGTAAACAAATTATTTGGAATGAAACTTTCAGTAGTGGTTAGTATATTTGACAGAGTAAAAGGACGAGGTGTACTTACACCTTTATAATTTAACATAGTCGATTGTCTAACAGGGGTTTTATAAGAAGAAGACGTTATTTCTATCGGCGTTTTGTAAGTACTAGTGTGAAAATTAGATTGAGTAGACGTTATTTCTAAAGTAGAGTATTGATCATTTCGTAAATTAGTTAAAAATGCATCAAAATCGAAATTAGGCTTAGCGAAAGGATTATCTATATCAGCATATTTGTTATTAGGATGGGTAAACGCATACGGTGGATTTGGAAAATTGTGTTTAAAATATTGATTATTATCTTCATCAGATATTTCATCATTTTCATTGGATTCATAGCTATCATCATAATATTCATGTTTAGATGAATGATCTTGACTATACTTTTGGTTATTTCTGATATTCATTTGTTCATCTTTCGTGTGTTGTGGATTTTGTTTCATTTGTTTATGATTTAAGTTGTGATCGTACCCGGATTGAGAAAAAGATGATAATTGAATTGGTTTATTGGTAACAATCATACTAGAAATTTGAGAAGAATCAATTACTGAATGTGTTTTTGGTCGGTTGGATGACGAATGTGTATATGCAGATAACTGTTGGCTGTCTTTAGGACCATTGTTATAAAATCCTCCAGACAAAGATGAAATTAAATTTTCTTTGTTATTTATAGAAGAAATAGGTGAGCTATTTATAAAAATTTGAGACGGAGTATTCAAAGAACTGTGAGTAAATTTTCGATTTAATGGATCAGGAAGACTCGGTTTAAAAGGTCTTTGAGATTGCGAACCTTCAGTTTCATAAGACAAAAAAGGATTAGCGGTCGAGAGAAGTAAATTATCTAGTGAATATGGTTTACGACTTACTGGAGTGAAGTTATCTTTATTAAAAGTATTTTCGTAACGATTATTTTGTAACTTAGATTTGTATTGTGGAAACTGTTGTAAGTCTACAAATTTTACCGGTCTTGAATTTTGCCAGTTTTTTCCAGATTTTAACAAATATGTGACTTGTCTTTTGTCTCTATCTGTTTCAACTTTTTCACTACCGTAGCCACCATCCAATATTGTTTCATTATCAAAATCAACATAACCATTTATGTCATCACTGTCAGTTTTATCAATCGTTTTGTCTACACTTGTTAAGTTAGTTAGTGTGTCTAGGTCTCTTTTGCTTCTTATTTTCTCTTTGTCGATTCTGTCGTATGGGTTTATGTGGTTTATCTTAATGTCAAAGTCTCTGTCCTTAGAAAAGTCAGTCACGTTATGATTGTCAGCTCTGAAATAATACAAATTTCAAGTACATCTCATTAAAGGAGTTATATATCGTAATTATATTACGTTAAACAAATAAACATTTCAATTCAGTACTAAAATACCTGTACGTTTGAGGAGCTGGAGTAATTGTCGCAGTTCTTCTTTCATCAACTTGTGTCCCGTATGAAAATGAACTAAATTTACTACTTGTTTGCGGTATAGATGCAGGTATAATATTAGAATTAATTGTCCTTCCAGAAGTAATAGATTGAGCAATATAACCATCTCTGTCTTTTTGAACTTGACCAATCGTCGATGGCTGCCCTCGATAAACGCGTTGCTGCCTATCGTTCTCCAATTCTTCTACGGGAGGCAAGTCATCCACTTCGGCAAATAATTGTTGTTGCTTGATGTAAGAAAATGAAACAAAAAGTTTTATATATGTGTATATAATATATTGTAAAAGGAATTTCACATATTATTATGAAGTAAATGTTTACCTGTTCATATTCTTGTCTGTTAAACTTAGGTTGTCCTCTGGATGTAATAACAGGGTTAGGATGTGCTCTTGCTGAATGCGGTTGAGTTGTGCGTCGTGGTGGTGGAGGTGGCGGTGGTGGTGGTGGATTTCTTTCATTGAGTCTTTCTAGTTCTTCTCCCACAAATGTACCGGTGGCATCACAGCCAACGTTACGCGGCCAATCACATGTTTGGAGCTCGTGGCTAAAAATGATGTGAGTATTAAGAAGTATGTACTACAGACTAATAAAATGGTATATTTTTGTTTTAAGCAACTTAATTTCAAGATTGTTACAATTTAAGTTATTGTGTATGAAATGTACATAGTATTCAAAAACTGAAAATAAGCATGTACTGGTATTTTTTAACTTATTCATTATCAACAGGTAAATATTTATTGAATCACAACATAGTTGACATAATTTTCACAAATATTGTAACTCAAACTATGATTAATTTTTGTTATTTATATTCTTTGTTATTATATAATATAATGGTTTCACATTTTTTAAATGTTAGATAATTAAAAATGTTTCTAAACTTACCTGTACATTAGACCACCCGTACATGACTCCATAAGTGCGCCGCCAAATACACAAACATAGTACAGGGTACAATCAGTAGGGTGAGGGTAGTAACCAAACTCTTCAGGACAGTCGAAATTCACCTCCCTCTTAATATTGGCTGCGACAGGAACGCTGCGTGTCGACCCGGAACGCTGTCGGGAGCGCTCCTTCGCCCCAAGACATTCTGAAAGTATAAACAATATCTATTACATACATTTCAAAAAAAAGCAAGGATCATTAATATTTCAACAAATTTCTAGGCAAGCGGAATTGAAGTGATACGATGATCAGTTCATCACTATACTATTGCAAGATTAGCTACCGTTAGAGTAATTTCCTTCTTTATTTAGGAGTTTTACACAGGTTGAATATGACTGTCATATTCAACCTGCAACCATCTATCTAGAGTTGAAGTGAAGAAGACATTAGTCTTGTATTTTCATTTTGGAACGTTCCATTTAGTCACATTTATTTTATGATATTTACACCACAACATTAACTTTCTTATGGTTATTATTAAACAGACATAATAGATATAATACTTTAAAAAATCATTTCAAAAGTATTCCGCAACGTAGAGCCCATTCTATTGCGATCTTTTGAACCCGTAGAGTTACGCCATGTCCGTCGGAGGTTTTACTCAGAGATGGAAAAACATTTTTTCGATGCAGGGGTCCATTTGCTTTAAAGAAAAATTTTTCATTACAGTCATGTGTCATCCCCCTCACCCCACTACCAACTAAACCGCTGTCTTTGATAATGTGAGAAGTACATACGATAGTAGTATATATAATGAAGTTAAAAGGAAAACTATTACAACTAAGTGGAGTTAACAAGTAATAGTCGACCAACTTATAAAATGCACTTGAATCAGTAAAAATTTTCTTACAGCTCCATAAAAAACTAGCTGCATTATAACTTTGTAATATTGTGAACTGTAAGAAATAAATATTTTATGAAGTAAACGACTTATATGCATTACCACTATAGCTTATCTTTTTCATTTATGGGATAAGCAGTGAGGATCTTTCTTGCTTACTTAATACTTTCAATTATTTTTTAGTTTATAGTTATTGTAGGTCTCATTCAAAGTATTCACACAATCATATAGCCTCATACAATTACATTCGTCATACTCTTGGTTTACGTGAGTGACCCGCAGGATAATTTAGTGCAGTGGTGATTTACGGGAAAGCTCGCTACGGTCATATATATCTTAGGGCCGCACTGTCGGGAATATATAGATAGATAGTCAGCTATGACCATCATTGGTACAGACTAGGCAAGTAAATGATTTTGATTTAAAATGTATTATTTTCAAAATTGAAAATTTTTAAATAATTTTTGAATACCACTCCTTATAAGTCCGTTTTGAAAATAAGTTCTTCAGTTACCATCTTACTATTGGGGCCCATTTTTAGTGGTTATAGCGGTCAAACCGCGAACTCACCTATTATGATAATTATAAAGAAAGCCCATGTATTGTGACGGGAAACTACGGAACCCTACCTCTACATTATGCGTGGCCCGACACGCACTTGGCCAGTTTTTGGTTCATCGTTGTCACACAATTCAAAGTTACAGAAGTCAAAGTAAAAGCCAATTTTTTATATTCAATGCAAAATATATATATATATATAATATCCGTGTAGTGTTGATAGTCTTATAAGAACCGTAGAGTGGTATAAGAACTGTGAAGTGGCGTAAGAACGTCCACTACCCCATACCATCCCACGGGTGTAGTAAGAGGTGACAGAAGAAATAAAAAGACAGAAGAAAGAGAAGAAGAAGAAGGAAACTGAAACAGTTGATAGGCGGCAGTATCTTCCTGATAACAGAAGGAAACTTTTGGTAGACTTTAATGATAATGGTAATATAATATACTTAATATTATTTTTAAATGCCATGGTTTGAATTTGGTAAAATCTGGCTTTAATTTGGTAAAATTGTAACATGCATATTATGCCATGTTACAATTTTACCAAAAACTTTGGAGTAATAACATACATATGTTAACAACCTAAAATAGTGTCAGTTTTTTATGTCAGTTTTAACATTTTTTCCCTAGTGTTATACTGCACTAGCGAACGTAATGACTTAATCAATATTATCACTCACACTTTTTATCATTATCATCATATTATTATAGACGTTAGTTATCCCGTCCAATAATGTAAAGGCATTGACTTATATATTACTAGCGTAAAGGTCTCAAGTAAATACTACTAGTAGGCAAATTTAATTAAAGTGGTACATTTTAATTAAAGTTTAAATAAAAAATAAATACGCGTTGTCGCGCTGAAGCACTAAGCTAGAATGGCTCACCTCATTAGCTCGTTACCAATGAATGGGGTCTCCAAATTAATAATGGAGTCGAGCCGACATTCGTGCTACAATTATGTATGATAGTTGCAACATATTTCTACCACGTATAACATGTAACTTTTTGGTGTACCGAATAAATAAATTGACAACTACGACTATTATCACGACATTTTTTCCCTCGTTCATTATGTTTTTTCGAGTGTAAAACGGGACAATTCTCAACAATTCAGCGTCATATACATTGCAATATGATTGAGTTGATATATACTGTTGTCCTCGCAGCTTATCAAAAATCCGTTGCAGGACATAGGTCTTGCACACATAAGTTTGTCATAGCTGCCACGATTGGCAGTCATATGGGTAATCGCAGTTTTCATTTTTTATTTTAAATTGTTATTGGAAGACGCTGCTTTCCATATCTTGGATTGTTTCCCTCTGTCGCCTCTCGCGACTCTCATGGAAGGATAGTGAATACTTTTACACCGCAGTATGCCGTTCCATTCCGTGTAGAGGCACGGAATGGAACGGCATACTGCAATTAGAAATATGTTCACAATAAGGTATAAATATTCCTTATTCCGACTACGCCCGGCCTAAGATAACATCATTTTATCCAATCCGGTGCAGTGACTCCGACTTTGCGGCCATTCTCTAAATTATTCCGATTGAATTTCGATCTTTGTGGTTGCAAAAAAGGACGCTACATCGTTATATCGTGATTGCGGAGAAGAGGTGGGCGGCAAAGATCCTAGTATTACCAAGTTTTGCAATTTAATTGTAATTAGATATATACCCACTCATAGTGAATACCTTCTGTACTTTACCTAGTACAACCTAGTTCTAATTGGATGCTGTAGCTTATAGAAATCTCCATTAGTTCTCGATTATAAATAAATATGCAGTTGCGTCGTCATCCATGACGGCTAAGATGGAATGCCTTGTTTCCCGTAAAAAGGGTTTTCGGTTCTCTACAAGGTCTTTAAAAACTTAAATAACAAAGAAGTTGTTAACAGAAAACAAAAAAATTCTTGATAAAAAAAAACTTGGTTGAAAATTTTCGGTAACGCGACACAATGTGCCATAAAACTTATTTTATCACATTACATATATTGATACCTTTGTTTTCTTAATTCACACTTGAAACAATAGGATATTTAGCGCTTGTACAAGGGTATTCCCATGCCAGATTGATTACGATCATTTTACGTATTATTGTTAAAAACTTAAGTGAAAATATGAGAAGACGTACCGTTACTTTTAAAAAACTTTAGAATGTTTCACAGTGCATTATCAATAATTTCTACTCTATACTTAGCAACCTCAGGTAGGTTGCTAATATACTACCTATAACTATAACTATAATTTCAAAACACATGTATCCAACAATAGATTTGTAGAGGATGACAGTGAAAAAATATATCCATAGCGTCATACCTGTAATCCTTAAAAGGGGGTAGGCAGAGTCTAAAAAGCAGCAAGCTGCACTGACCACGCTTAAAAAAAATATACGAGTAAGTTTAGATCTAAACAATCACTAACCCAATATCTGATTAGTCGCCTTTTACGACACTTTGCATATTGCACGCTTCATAACGCGAAGCGTAGTATCTATATATATGTGGTAGTGCATTTCTCTCAACACGTCAAGTTCAAGCAATTTTGTGTTCTTAAAATGCCTCTATCATAACCATATTGCAAAAGTACGACAATATGAGTAGCCGTATATTAAAAAAAAAACTCATTTTATATTGGCACTTTAAATAAAAAGGTTTGAAAAATTTTTACGTGGACGTCAGGATGTATGTATTGTATGAGGTCACAATAACTCCCGAAGAAATTGATGTATCGAGACCGAGTCTTTTTATTACCTCCAGAATTACATCAACTGATTTCCTATTACATACCAATAGACTAGTAGGCCTAGTTAGTTTTATTGCTATTAAAAATTTAAAGGCACTGTCATGTTTCTGGCCCTAGATAGACAAAGGACAAAATGTATCATGCAGCCTCCTACATCGATTTTATACTTTGTCTCATCGTTTTTTTTTTGGTAAATATTTTGCACGCCTCATAACGTGAAGCAGTTGAGGAAATTCTTTTTTATAAATATACCTTCTTCCTAATTATGAGGCGTGCACTTTTGAATTTTCCAATTTTTATATATTGTTATATTTATTTTATTGTTTTAAGTCATACAATAATAAGACATATATGTGTTACGACTTATGTTAGTGTTAGTTTAATATATATAATTTTGTAAGTATTAATTTAATATTAATCAGTTAAACTTAGATTTGGTTTTGTGCGTAGGTTAATATCATCATTTTTATTGCTAAGCTGTTTTAAATTTAAGTTTTATTGCTACATATCGGATTTTAGAATTTAAAAAAAAGTATGAAATAAAATTATTGTATTGTGTGCTTATTGTAGTACACAATCATTGCTAATAAATAATATGTAATTGTAGTCGGTTTCCAGTAGATGAAGTAGTGAATATTTTTATATAACACTACGCCGATATAATATGTATATATAAATTAGTCAGCTTTATTTTACGTGGGAGGTGGAGGTTCAAAATATAATAGATTTGTTTCAAGGATATAGTCGGACGCGATCGTTTCCTTGGTTTATTAAATACTTTGATTATATACCCGTATATAGTCAAAGATTAAATAATAATAATTTATTTTATCCTTACTAACTACTTGGATTCTGTTCTATTTTTTCTTTTAAAGCAACTTACTCGAATACACCTTGTGCCTTAAATAATATTCATTTTATAAATCTTAATATTGGTAGTAATTTGTATATAATATACAAATAACTGCAGAATGACTCTATCATTCTGCAGTTATTTGTACGAGTATATTATAGCAGGAGCACGAATGGGTCGGCTCGTATGCTGAGAACCGGAGAGCATTTTTACTTGAAACGGGCAATCCATCTTGGTCCTCAGGGGTGGGTAACAACACGGTATATTGTTTCTTAATCGAGGATAGATGTAAATGTCAATGGATGACAGCAACCACTTTTCATCAGTTGGACTGTGTGCCAGTTTTTTACCCATAATCTTTAAAAATAACAATAGATTGCAAACTTTAAGTAACATAAAAAACTATTACGCTTTTCTCATATAATATTACAAAATAATATGTATACTATTTAATTTTTTAACTAACTTATTCTAAATTCATCATTCTTTTCTTTATCATTATCAGGCCGTAAGAGTCTATCCGTACAGACAGGCTTCTCCATTGATAGTGACTATAATAAAACACCAAACAAGCTGCATTCTGATCACAGCCCCAGACGCATAGAACTTTAGACGAAAAATAAAATGATTATATTCTCTTCTGTTGGAAACCCGTGTTCTTTTTCTGGCATTTCATGCATTCATTCTTATGACACGAAATTTTATTTCAATTCATGGCTTTACGCCGCCAGCAGAGTTAGTATCATCATCATTACAGCCTGTCTATTTCACTGCTTAACAAAAGCCTCACCAATAGTGAGTATATTTTCCATTCCATTCTTCATAGTGAGGATTTTGTCATAGTTGTCAAGGTTGACAGTCCAGTTGGCAACCGCAGTTATTTTATTTTTTTGAGTTGCTATTAAGATGCTGCTGTCCACATCATGTTTTGTTTCCCTCCGTGGCTTTACTACTCCCCCGGGATAATATTTGGTATTAGATTATCTAACACCGCTACTAAGTGACAAATAGATAACGCAAAGAAATATAATGATTTCTTAAATTTACGCGAACATTACACATTGAATAAAACTATTATTTACGGATTTTATCGCGTTTAATTACTTTAATTTATTTTTATTATTATCCCGACGTTTCGGGTGCTTTACAGCACCCATGGTCACGGGGGGGAACTGAGATGTTTGACGTCCCAATGTCATAGTTAGTCCGGCTACCTTCAGTTTTTTTTTATGTTTAATGTAATGGTGGGGACGATCTTGAACATGTTCGCAGACTGCAGACTTCCCGGAGCGTCGGTCGGAAGTCTGCAGTCTGCGAACATGTTCAAGATCGTGCCCACCATTACATTAGATTTGATAAACCACAAATTCTCGCAAAAGAACACCGATTCCTACCAAGGATGATACGCGAGGCTGTTGAAATTAAAAAACATCCAAATTTCAATAGAGAAAATGGTTGGGTGCTACCATCTGCTTGGGATCCTATAATTAACAAAATTAAACCCAAACCCAAGCATACCACTGCAAGACTTCATTATACTATAAGCTCGTTTTGCGTAAATCGGACCAAAAATTAATATAAAAAAAAAACTGAAGGTAGCCGGACTAACTATGACATTGGGACGTCAAACATCTCAGTATCCCCGTGACCATGGGTGCTGTAAAGCACCCGAAACGTCGGGATAATAATAAAAATAAATTAAAGTAATTAAACGCGATAAAATCCGTAAATAATAGTTTTATTCAATGCAAAGAAATATATTACTTCCCTTTCTCGAGGACTTTCTAGACCTTTTCGCAGATGGCTCTTATGATGCCCATTATATGAATGATTATCGTTTAGTTTGCTCCAGGTGCGAAGTATTTATAATTCTCATCAATATACGTGCCACAGACGTAAATCTTTAGTAGTGAAACAAGTCCTTCAGATAGATATAATATGCTCTTTGTTACAGAGCTGTGACCTTTCGCTTTAATTTGTATCTGTAAACTCTATCGCTTCAACAAACTGTTAATTTAATGGCCACCCAGCACTATAATAGACAATAAGTTACCAAAAAGACCTTGAAACATTCACATTAAACCGATTAGTAAAAGCAATAATGCGATGGGCGTTATTCTCTAACGATCAAATCATTGGTCACTGTGGCCGCTTATTTTTTGTTCAATCACTGATCACTTAAAATTGTCTGTAATGTTCAAAGAGTGAGACTGGGTTTCGTAAGAGGCGACAGAAGTAAATAAATCGAGAGATGGGCAGCGTCGTCTTCCGAGTGACGTATAAAAATAAACTGCGGTTAGGCCAATAGCACCAACATCATCGAAACCAGAGAACCCGCTTGCAAACTGTGGCAACTATGACATATATCCAACCTATGAGACAATGTATGGGGGAGGTCTAAATCAGCAATGTACTTTGATAGGCTCTAACGATACTTTTAATAAAAAAGCGAATTATATTAATATTAGTACGTTAAGTCGAAACTCAAGCTCGAAGTTAATAAGATGATAATAGCTAATTGGCTTTTTCACCTTTTACTTAATGGTAATAGAACTAATAGCTGTTTACAGTGTAATTTGAAACAAACCCTAAGTAAATTATAAATAAGCCGCGGCAACTACTTTCCCAGGACAAACATATTTTGTGACATTCTGTGTCTCCGAATACAAATTACAACCTATATTAGTCCCACTATTTGATACAGGTCTTAATCAACTTCTGAGAGGGTTATGAGGGAGTAGTGCTACTCACGTTTATGATGACAGACTTCACATATTAAAATATTTCATTTCCCAGAAATGCAGGTATCCTCACGTTGTATTCCTTCACCGCCGAACACGTGGTAAATCAGCAAATGAAATTAGAATTAACTTTGGTGCCTGCAGGGATCTAAACAGAATAAGACTACTTCCTACTGTACAGTTACAGCAAAAACGTTACGTCAGATATGGACAGGTTCGGACGGGTGAGTGCCTCTGAGTTTGTGCGGACATAATCGCATAATATGGAACAAAAATGAAAAAGCCTGTCAGGGCTACGCATGATAGATAAATTTGATTACATGTCGCAAGTGCAAGACTCAACTAAAAGAATACATATTTGCACCATTTGATATAATACTATTCATTAGAGTTTGGCTATTATTCAGTAGAGAGTCAGCGCTAATAAATGTTTTTAAAGGATTTATTAATTTAATGAGGAAACGGAGCCTGAATAATCTAATCTCCAAAAAGTTGTCATTTAATTTTTATCGTCCGGGTTTTTTTTTATTTGATTTGAATTAGTACAGGATAATTTCTTAATTTGTAAAAATAATTTATTATTATTACAATATATTTCACAAAGTACAGTACATTTCTTGACTTATAAAAATAATATTATTGATGATTTTCACTACCAAAAACATTCAAATATCATGTTATAAATCTGAAATTCGGCCCTCAACACTTAAATCAAAATCCTATTTGTTGTCAGAATATCAAACAATCAAACGTAATTATGGCAATATGGCAATCATTACAATTGATTGCGGAATCGCTTTCCACATTCTTGTCTTTGTGACACAATTGGTGCAATTTACAAAAGACCGCGTAATTCTAAAAATGATCTCTATATAACAACTTCAAAATCCTGGCGTACCTTTATTTGACGAATTGTTTCATTGTTTATCAATTGTTAAAGGTCTTAATATTTTAAAGTCGTAGTTTTGTGATATTTCCAATTTAATTTTGTTGGGTTTATATATTATATTACATACAAAATAACAGAAAAATACGTTGTAAGTGAGAAAAAGCGTCCTAGCTAAGGATCCTTATAACACAATTGGTCACACTGTGTATAGGAAAAAGACCCATACCAACCGATATTTAAATGGTGAATCTCACCATCATCCTTCACAGTTAGCTACCGTGGGTAAATCTTTGTTTCAGAGAGCACGAGGGATCTGTGACAGAAAACATCTGGCCGCCGAACTTCAGCATGTCAAGCAAGTATTGCAAGACAAACAATCTTCGAGTCCCGCGCCTACGTCACAGTGACCAAGTGAAGCCGGCCACAGTCGAGCGTGTACCTGTTGTACTACCACATGTCAGAGGAATCACAGACAAGGTTGGCTACATCTTGAAGCGAGCTTCCATTAAAACATACTACAAGCCGCCGAAGAAGATTAGTCAATTTTTACCATCCGTCAAGTGTAATATCCCTCTACAAGATGCAGGAGTTTACTAGTTAGATTGTGAACGTGGTCTCTCTTACATAGTGAAATGTGAAAGAACATATAGCTGACGTGAAGCACCGACGCTCCGGGAAGTCTGCAGTCTGTGAACATGTTCAAGATCGTCCCCACCATTACATCAGATTTGATAAACCACAATCCTCGCAAAAGAACACCGATTCCTACCAAGGATGATACACGAGGCTATTGAAATTAAAAAACATCCTAATTTTAATAGAGAAGATAGTTAGGTGCTGCCATCTGCTTGGGATCCTATAATTAACAAAATTAAACCCAAACCCAAGCATACCACTGCAAGACTTCAAGATAATGTAAGTTCGTTTTGCGTAAAACATCAAACATCTCAGTCCCCCCCGTGACCTTGGTTGCTGTAAAGCACCCGAAACGTCGAGAATTAAAAATAAGTAAAAGTAGTGAAATAAACGCGATAAAATCCGTAAATTTAGTTTTATTCAACAAATAGGTTTTTTTTACAATAAAAAAATAGACAGACGATTTCACATTCACTTGATAGTAAATGGCTATCGTAGCCCGTGAACATCTGCAACTTCAAACAAAGGAGGTTACAAATTCATTTTTATCATTAATTTTGATAAATGTGTATTAATTTTGATATAAATGAAACCGAAATACAGCAAAAAATATACATTGATACTATTTCTGCCAAGCACTTATCTAGTCATAATATGATCCTAAAAAAATACAAAATGTATGGTCGATTTTTCCATTAATTTTTTTTTAATTTAGACACAAACTAATTGAATTTATGACTTTTTGTAACAAAGAAATTTTAAAGTATACCAATAATAATACATCACACGTTAGGATTTACATTCAATATTTTGATCAAACTACATTTATTACGTTCTTACGTTCAATAAAACAAATATAGATTATTTTAAAATCTACTTCGTGATTTTAGCACTTATAGTTTGAGCAACATAGTAACAACTGCTAAAGAATTTAGGGCAATTATTATTCTTGCTTATTGATATTTTTTACCAGAATGCGGCAGACCCTGAATAACGAGCGCTTTTAACTTGAGCCCATTTTTATTGTCGTTATGGACGACCTCGCTACTGTAATCATTGCCTTTTCACTTTTTTTATTTACGCAGCTCTCCTACAATATCTTACGTACATGTTTTCACAATAAAACATATTCAAGGTTACATGAAATTTTACATTTATATTCATACACTTTTGATTGTAAGTAGCAGGCAACGTTTCTTTCGTCATAAACACTAATTTACCTGCGATTATTCTTCGGGTATGTATTATTTACATTTAAACGTGCTAAAGAATTTTT